CGTTTCTCTCAATGTTTGCCGATGATGGAAAAATTATGAGGACTGAAACAGGATGATAGTAGGAGGCTACAAGATGACCTAGACAAACTGAATGAATAGTGCAGCAAATGGCTGCTAAAGTTCAACCCGAGTAAATGCAAAGTAATGAAACTAGGCAGTGGAAACAGGAGGCCAGACTCAGGATACAGAATAGGAGATGAAGTACTTAATGAAACAGACAGAGAAAGATCTAGGAGTTGATATCACACCAAACCTGTCTCCTGAAGCCCACATAAAGAGAATAACGTCTGCGGCATATGCGAGGCTGGCTAACATCAGAACGGCGTTCAAGAACCTGTGTAAGGAATCATTCAGAATCTTGTACACCACATATGTAAGACCAATCCTGGAGTATGCGGCCCCAGCATGGAGCCCGTACCTTGTCAAGCACAAGACGAAGCTGGAAAAAGTTCAGAGGTATGCTACTAGGCTAGTCCCAGAACTAAGAGGCATGAGTTGTGAGCGAAGGCTGCTTGAAATACACCTCACATCGCTGGAAGACAGAAGAGCAAGGGGGGAGACATGATCACTACCTACAAAATTCTCAGAGTAATTGACAGGATAGATAAAGTTAAACTGTTTAACACGGGTGGTACGCGAACAAGAGAACACAGAGGGAGATTGAGTACTCAAATGAGCCACAGAGACATTAGAAATAACTTTTTCAGTGTCAGAGTAGTTAACAGGTCGAATGAATTGGGCAGTGAACTACTCTGACACTGAAAAAGTTATTTCTCATGTCTCATTTGGGTACTCAGTCTCCACCTGTGTCCCCTTGTTCCCGTACCACCCATGTTAAACTGTTTATCTTTATCTACCCGCTAATTCCTCTGAGAATTTTGTAGGTAGTAATCAAATCCCTCTTTTGCAGACGAGGAGTCACAATAACGTGGCTGAAATATATTAACCAAACGACACACTAGAAAGTGAAGGGACGACGACGTATTGGTCCGTCCTGGACCATTCGTCGATTGATTAAGACCATTCTCACAACCGACTTGAGAATGGTCCAGGACGGACCGAAACGTCGTCGTCCCTTCACTTTCTAGTGTGTGGTCTGGTCAACAAATCTCCCCTTACTCTTCTGTCCTCCAGTGACGTAAGGTGCATTTCCCGCAGCCTGTCCTCGTAACTCATGCCTCTTAGTTCTGGGACTAGCCAAGTGGCATACCTCTGAACTTTAACCAGCTTCGTCTTGTGCATCAATGTGCCCGGTCTAGACCAAGACTGGATACAAACCACAACAGCTCAGATGTATGTATGATCTGGTATGATTTGAGGGGGGGGGGTGGCAGGAGGGAAGGGGGTGTTCCCGAAATAATGTAACAGGTTATTATAATCCCAAACTCTTAATTAACTGATAACCGGATTTTTATATCAATTAATTAGCCTTTTAATTGTGAGAGAGGAGTGGTGTGGCGTCATTAGGTCAGCTGAGGGCCGCTAATGAAGTCCGGTCTGGCACGCCATTAACCACACGTTAATTATAAACAATGGCTTATATTGGGGAGAAAGATGTAATGAATTTGTGGTGATGTGTGTATTACGGCAGGGTGGGGGGGGGGGGTTGACAGGGTGAGGGGTTGACAGGGTGGGGGTTGACAGGGTGGGGGTTTGACAGGTTGGGGGGAGGTTGACAGGGTGGGGGTTGACGGGGTGGGGGTTTGACTGGGGTGGGGGTTGATAGGGTAGGTGGGGGTTGACAGGGAGGGTGGTGGGGAAGTAGAGTGACTTCACAACACAATCAGTATTGTCGTCCAGTTGGAGGGGGGGGGGGACCAACCACCGGAGAACCAAACAATGCGATCATTGTGTCTTCCCGCTCACCTAATTGTGCCTGCAAGACCAAGCTCCTGCTCCCGGGCCCCGCCAGCTGCTGTTTATCTCGTGATTTAACACGTGTGGATTGTACCCAGTCTGAAGCCTACCTATCTCTGGAAATTTCAATTTTGATCCTGAGTTTTACCAGGTATGGTTTCCATGCTGGGGCTGCATTCTCTGAGACTGGTCTAACATACGTGTATAATGTTCTGAAGGATTCCTTGGCCTCGGGCCTTGTATATAGAGCCTGATGGTATCCTGTGCTCACCTAGTTGTGCTTGCTAGGGTTGAGCCACACCCACTGCCACCACCTACCATATAATATAATCTAATACCATATAATATATATCTAATACCATATATATATATATATATATATATATATATATATATATATATATATATATATATATATATATATATATATATATATATATATATATAATTTTTTTTTCCTTTATTGTGTATTTAAAGGTTACAAAACATACAAGACAAATGCCTAAAGGTTATGGATCTCTTGAAGCTCCTCCGCTTCTGGACAGGAACCGAGGACGCAGCAGGCATTTCCCCTCTGGATCGCCACACTGAGGCGCTGAAACAAAAAACTGGAAGCCCTTGGGTCTCTGGTGACGTCAATGAGCTTGGAACCCAATTCCTTGAGAAATCCCAAGGCACTCTTGCCCCAGGGGCCATGCGTCTCAGACGCTATGGGAACAAAGGTGTATTGACCTTCCAGTCGCCTGTACTTGAGTGATTTTGCTGTTTCCCTTTGGTTGGCCGCCCCACCTGCTTGATCAGCACCGAAGTGTACATAGGTGTCAGCCAGGGTGGATACACATGTGTAGTCCCACACCAACTGTCTACCCTCCTTCCATGAGTATATGGTGATGCCATCAGGGCGAAGTGCGGGGTCATCCGGGTTTTGGCCTCCTGGGATGCGAGGTTCTCTCTCTGCTGGGCACCCAGCTGAGACGAGGCTTCTCTTGATGACGTCATTGACCTCGTTGTGTCTTGCATGCCAGCCCTTTGTGCTTCCGCAATGCAACCCATGCAGTCCGTATTGGTCTGCTTCCACCCTGTTGCAAATACACTTGTATTCAGTGTGAATTGGGGCACCAAGGCGGAGGGCCACTGCTACACGAAGGGATTCTGGATCTAGGCGCGTGTCCATTGCTGACATGGGTACTGCCAGGAGGAAGTCTCCTGCATGGGGGGCACGCACTGCTCTGAGGCGGACTTTCTCCTATATATATATATATATATATATATATATATATATATATATATATATATATATATATATATATATATATATATAATATATATATATATATATATATATATATATATATATATATATATATATATATATATATATATATATATATATTGGGGAAGGGAGTACCACCTCTGGCTGGAAGAAGGGGGACCCATAGCCTCGGAGGAAACCACACATAGCGCATTGGAGGGAATGTAGGTCCCCCTCCAATACAGCAATATATATATATATATATATGTCGTACCTAGTAGCCAGAACGCACTTCTCTGCCTACTATGCAAGGCCCGATTTACCTAAGAAGCCAAGTTTTCATGAATTAATTGTTTTTCGACTACCTAACCTACCTAACCTAACCTAACCTAACTTTTTCGGCTACCTGACCTAACCTAACCTATAAAGATGGGTTAGGCTAGGTTAGGTAGGGTTGGTTAGGTTCGGTCATATATCTACGTTAATTTTAACTCAAATAACAAAAAATTGACCTCATACATAATGAAATGGGTAGCTTTATCATTTCATAAGAAAAAATTAGAGAAAATATATTAATTCAGAAAAACTTGGCTTATTAGGCAAATCGGGCCTTGCATAGTAGGCCGAGAAGTGCGTTCTGGCTACTAGGTACGATATATATATATATATATATATATATATATATATATATATATATATATATATATATATATATATATACATAATGGGGAAGGGAGTACCACCTCTGGCTGGAAGAAGGGGGCCCCATAGCCTCGGAGGAAACCACACATAACGCATTGGAGGGAATGTAGGTCCCCTCCAATACAGCAATATATATATATATATATATATATATATATATATAAAAATATCATTCATTACCCATTGCTGGTGCTCACATGAGTAGTATACAGATCATCATGGGAAAGTATTCATAGGAAGTGATGACTTTGGACTCCAGTAATTTCTTGGAGTAGATTTACTGCTGGTGAGACACTCCAGTTTTAAGAGTCCTTGTGGATGGAGAGGTCATCACATTAGCTGGCAGCCAGGCGTAGATGGTCAATATGATGCCACACCTGTCTTGGGGTGCCAGACCAGTGCCACACACCTGTGTTGGGGTGCCACACCTGTGTCGGGGTGCCAGACCAGTGCCACACACCTGTCTTGGGGTGCCAGACAAGTGCCACACCTGTGTCGGGGTACCAGACCAGTGCCACACCTGTGTTGGGGTGCCAGACAAGTGCCACACCTGTGTCGGGGTGCCAGACAAGTGCCACACCTGTGTCGGGGTGCCAGACAAGTGCCACACCTGTGTCGGGGTGCCAGACCAGTGCCACACACCTGTCTTGGGGTGCCAGACAAGTGCCACACCTGTGTCGGGGTGCCAGACAAGTGCCACACCTGTCTTGGGGTGCCAGACAAGTGCCACACCTGTCTTGGGGTGCCAGACAAGTGCCACACCTGTGTCGGGGTGCCAGACCAGTGCCACACCTGTCGTGGGGTGCCAGACTAGTGCCACACACCTGTGTTGGGGTGCCAGACCAGTGCCACACACCTGTGTTGGGGCGCCAGACCAGTGCCCCACACCTGTGTTAGGGTGCCAGACCTGTGCCACACACCTGTGTTGGGGTGCCAGACTAGTGCCACACACCTGTGTTCGTGCGCCAGACCAGTGCCACACCTGTTAGGGTGCCATACCAGTGCCACACCTGTTAGGGTGCCGTACCAGTGCCACACCTGTGTTAGATGTGTTCATGTATTCCACGTGTATTGATGAGTGTTGACAAAACAAAGCGTGTATTGATGTTGAGGCCGATGTATTAATGATGTATTATGTAGTGTAGTACATAGTGGCCGATGTATTAATGTAGTGTGTTGTGTGTTGCAGGGTCGGTGCAACAGGGAGAAGCCGCCCTGCAAGTACTTCCATCCCCCCCAGCACCTCAAGGACCAGCTCCTCATCAACGGTCGTAACCATCTGGCTCTCAAGAACGCCATCATGACCCAGATTCAGGGCCTTAGTCCGGGCACGCCTGTGGTTCCTGGGACCATACCCATTGTGAGTCACCTTGTTGTGTTGTGCCTGCTCTCTCTCTCTCTCTCTCTCTCTCTCTCTCTCTCTCTCTCTCTCTCTCTCTCATCAATTTCCTCCTTCCTCCATCCCACCTCTGCTACCTTCTCTCCCTCTCCCGTTCCTTCCTTCTTCTCACCCACCATCTCTATCCCTCCTTATCAGTGCTCCTCCATCCTCCCCTATCCTTCCCATCTCCATCACTACCACATTAGGTGTGTTTCTCTGACTCACTGGGGATATATCTTTGATGGGTCTGTATACTGCCCCCCAGCTGGCCCTTCCTGGTCCCAGCTGGCCCGTCCTGGTCCCAGCTGGCCCGTCCTGGTCCCAGCTGGCCCGTCCTGGTCCCAGCTGGCCCGTCCTGGTCCCAGCTGGCCCGTCCTGGTCCCAGCTGGCCCGTCCTGGTCCCAGCTGGCCCTCTCTGGTCCCAGCTGGCCCGTCCTGGTCCCAGCTGGCCCGTCCTGGTCCCAGCTGGCCCGTCCTGGTCCCAGCTGGCCCGTCCTGGTCCCAGCTGGCCCGTCCTGGTCCCAGCTGGCCCTCCCTGGTCCCAGCTGGCTCTCCCTGGTCCCAGCTGGCCCGTCCTGGTCCCAGCTGGCCCGTCCTGGTCCCAGCTGGCCCGTCCTGGTCCCAGCTGGCCCTCCCTGCCCCCCCAGCTGGCCCTCCCTGCCCCCCAGCTGGCCCTCCCTGCCCCCCCCCCCAGCTGGCCCTCCCTACCCCCGCCTATGGGTGACCCTACACCTGCCGCTGGGCCATACATTATACAGGGCTGAGTGTGTATCAATTGTATAATTTATCTTGTGTATTAACTGGCATTGGTTGTGATGTTCGGGTGTGAGGGCTCCGGCCTCGGCTGCTGGTAGACGCTTAGTGCTGTTTCAAGGTGTGGGGGGGGGGGTTGTGTGTGTGTGGGGGGGGGGGGGGGTTGTGTGTGTGTGGGGGGGGGGGCAGGGTTGTGTGTGTGTGTGGGGGGGGGGGGTGGGGGGGGGGCAGGGTTGTGTGTGTGTGTGTGTGGGGGGGGGGTCAGGGTTGTGTGTGTGTGTGTGGGGGGGGGGGCAGGGTTGTGTGTGTGTGTGGGGGGGGGGGGTTGTGTGTGTGTGTGTGGGGGGGGAAGGTGTGTGTATTGACCTAGTTGTGCTTGCGGGGGTTGAGCTCTGCTTTATCGGCCCGCCTCTCAACTGTCAATCAACTGTAACTAACTACTAATTCCCCCCCCTCTCCCTCCCCCCCAAATACAGCCAGGAAGCAGCTCCGTAACAGCTGTCTAACTCCCATGTACCTATTTACTGCTAGGTACCAGGGGCATCAAGGCGAAAGAAACTTTGCCCATTTGTTTCTGCCTGGTCCGGGAATCGAACCCGCGCCACAGAATTACGAGTCGTGCGAGCTGTCCGCTCAGCTACTAGACCTCCCCCTTCCCCCTGTGTGTGGGGGGGGGGGGGTAAGGGTGTGTTTAGATGAGTTACAAGAATCCTCACACCAATGCTCATAAAATTAAAATAATTTTTTTTTGTATTATTAAAATCACTTGAGTTCTGCTCGGTACTCACTTCCCCCTTCACAGCGGGAGAGATGTCTGAATTAGAGGGAATACAGAGGACATATACGGCACACATAGACGAGATGAAACACCTAAGTTATGTTCGTGTTCTTGAAGATATTCTCATATTGCACCCAAATTTTGCCAGTGCAGGGTGCTGAAAATATGGCCCTGTATGACTAACCCTCCCTGGCCCCCTCCCTGGCCCCTCCCTGGCCCCTCCCTGGCCCCTCCCTGGCTCCCTCCCTGGCCCCTCCCTGGCTCCCTCCCTGGCCCTTTCCTGGCCCCTCCCTGGTCCCTTCCTGGCCCCTCCCTGGTCCCTTCCTGGCCCTCCCTGGCCCCCTCCCTGGTCCCCTCCTGGTCCCTCCCTGGTCCCTTCCCTGGCCCTCCCTGGCCCCCTCCCTGGCCCCCTCCCTGGCCCCTCCCTGGCCCCCTCCCTGGCAGATGGGGACTTCTAGTACCACTGCTGCCTTATTCACTCATGTGTTGATGATATCCTCATAATGCACCCAGAGTGTGCCAGTGCAGACTACTCATCACGTGCCTCTGTATGACTAACCATCCTGTGTGATGGGGAGTTTTAGCACCACGTAGCTAGCTTTGTGACACACACTGTACTCCACTTCACATAGTCTAGGGCAGCTGCACAAATGCACATGTACCTAAATGTGTGAATAAAACACAAGGAGGGGGGGGGGCAAACAAGGAAGCTGGTTGTTAGAGACACGTTTAACGAGACAAGGTGTCGAGCCCGAGCGTCACTTGCTGGAGGAATATGAGAGGAAACACAGCCGGGGCGGCCGCCCCTGGTGCCTCCCGCCCCTGGTGCCTCCCGCCCCTGGTGCCTCCCGCCCCTGGTGCCTCCCGCCTCCCTCATCACCGCCGCCTGACGCCCCTCTCCTCGCCCCGGCGGCTCTTATCCCTTCTCCACACCAGGAGGAAGAGAAGACGGAGGCGTAGGAGAGGATAAAGACGTGAGAGAGAGAGAGAGAGCGAGAGTCTCATTCTTCCTCTCCCACTACTTCCTGGATCTTTTCCGCAGGTTAGGTACTGTGACGGCGGCTCCTACTTCACCTACCACTTTGTTTGGGTCAGCGGAGGGTCCAGAAGGGAAGGAGTGGGTGAGAAACTAAGCAAAGTGTAAAAGCTGGGTAGAGAGGAGCCGTAGGGACGGGGAGGTCTGAGGCTGACAGGTAGGAGGCTCCCTAATGAGAGAGTTTGATGTATAGAGAGGAGAAAGTACCATACATAGCTATTCTTGGGTATACAAAGTTATACATAGGTTCCCCCCCCCCCGGGTGCTGGCCTGGGGGTGGCGTAGGATAATTGTAGTGAAAGGTATTAGTGCTCTCTAGGGTGGGAAGGGAACGGAATTATCCAGGGGAAAGCGCCAAGCCATTACGACTATATAGCACTTGGAAGGGATCAGGATAAGGATTTGGGATGGGACGGAGGGATCTCTATGGTGGATTAGTGTTGCACACTAACACATTGCACAGTTGCAGGCAGGTTGCACACTAACACATTGCACAGTTGCAGGCAGGTTGCACACTAACAGATCCCCACTCAAAGAGAAACAAACTGCTAACCTGGAGAACATCTACAATTTTGGGACCGTTTTCAAATTTTTAATCTGTATTCCCTAGAGCGCAGATGGGGGGGGGGGAGACATAATTATTTACACTTGGAAAACATTAGCGGGACTGGATGGAAATCTGCAGAGGGGAATAGCTGCCCACATGAGACCAGGAGGCATGGCAGGATGTGCAGAATACCGCTTTTAACAGATGAGGAGCAACGGCTCGCTGGGAAACAATTCTATCACCATCAAGGGTTCGATCATTCTCAATGCTGTACCTCTAAACGTGAGATACACCTGATCAAGCAGGCTGTGATTCGTGAAGCAGAGTGCGTGCAGCTTCGTTTAATGCACCACAAACCAGCAGGCGTGGCCAGAGACCGGGCCGCGGGGGCGTTGATCCTGGGAACTATCAGACGGTACCTACAAGGTGAGGTAACCCAAGGATTACCTTAGGGGGCGCCTGAGAGGCAGGGCGGCGGAGGGTCCGTGTCCTGGGTGTCACTCGTGCTCCCGGCTACAGTCTTAATCACATTACCACTGACCTGCAAGACTGTTCTCTCATGTGGGAGGTGTGTAGGTGTGTGTACTCACCTAGTTGTACTCGCCTAGTGGTGCTTGCGGGGGTTGAGCTCTGGCTCTTTGGTCCCGCCTCTCAACTGTCAATCAACTGGTGTACAGATTCCTGAGCCTACTGGGCTCTATCATATCTACACTTGAAACTGTGAATGGAGTCAGCCTCCACCACATCACTTCCTAGTGCATTCCATTTACTAACTACTCTGACACTGAAAAAGTTCTTTCTAATGTGTCTGTGGCTCATGTGGGTACTCAGTTTCCACCTGTGTCCCCTTGTTCGCGTCCCACCAGTGTTGAATAGTTTATCCTTGTTTACCCGGTCGATTCCCCTGAGGATTTTGTAGGTTGTGATCATGTCCCCCCTTACTCTTCTGTCTTCCAGAGTCGTAAGGTGCATTTCCCGCAGCCTTTCCTCATAACTCATGCCTCTTAGTTCTGGGAGTTGTCTAGTAGCATACCTTTGGACTTTTTCCAGCTTCGTCTTGTGCTTGACAAGGTACGGGCTCCATGCTTGGGCCGCATACTCCAGGATTGATCTTACATATGTGGTGTACAAGATTCTGAATGATTCCTTACACAGGTTCCTGAACGCCGTTCTGATGTTAGCCAGCCTCGCATATGCCGCAGACGTTATTCTCTTTATGTGGGCTTCAGGAGACAGGTTTGGTGTGATATCAACTCCTAGATCTTTCTCTCTGTCTGTTTCATTAAGTACTTCATCTCCTATTCTGTATCCTGTGTCTGGCCTCCTGTTTCCACTGCCTAGTTTCATTACTTTGCATTTACTCGGGTTGAATTTCAACAGCCATTTGTTGGTCCATTCACTCAGTCTATCTAGGTCATCTTGTAGCCTCCTACTATCATCCTGTTTCAATCCTCCTCATAATTTTTGCATCGTCGGCAAACATTGAGAGGAACGAATCTATACCCTCTGGGAGATCATTTACATATATCAGAAACAGTATAGGTCCAAGGACTGACCCCTGCGGGACTCCACTTGTAACGTCTCGCCAATCTGAGACCTCACCCCTCACACAGACTCGTTGTCTCCTGTTGCTTAGGTACTCCTCTATCCACCGGAGTACCTTCCCTTTCACTCAAGCCTGCATCTCCAACTTTCGCACTAGCCTCTTGTGTGGCACTGTATCAAAGGCTTTCTGACAATCCAAAAATATGCAGTCTGCCCACCCTTCTCTTTCTTGCCTTATTTGTGTGTGTGTGTGTGTGTGTGTGTGTGTGTGTGTGTGTGTGTGTGTGTGTGTGTGTACGTGTGTGTACGTGTGTGTGTGT